GGGGGGGTAAATCACAAATCACTGATACCTTTACAAAATCCACATGTTCATTGCTGCTTTCTTCTTGCTCTGAGTCCAGCGTTACCCACTTTCTTTGTAACAGTGGGGGTGGATTTGAGCTTTTTGTTTGTTCCTAAGTTTTGAGAATCAGAGTTGCCAAATCAAAATAACAAAACAAACATTTTTTTTTATCAAGAACATTTTAAAATACATTTTGAGTGTAGAATCACAATATAAATTTGAAGACACAGTTTAAATCTAATCAGTGCAACTCACCACTGAACAATCTGTGGGAGACTGTGGGTTACATTTTATCAGCTCCACATCTAAAGATTTTACTGCTCGATTCATTTTCCTTGGAAGAGGAACTGGCTGCTTTGGCTGCAGACAAAAAAAAAGATGGATATTAATGTGAAAATCTGCTGGAATATTCAGAAACCCATTTTAACTATTTTAGTCTCTTTCATAGGTGTATACAAAAAAAATTAGGTTGATATTTGATATTTAGCATACACCATTTATTAAATTTATAATATTAACCATTTGTTTATAAACTCACAAGTCGACAAAGTCATTAATAAAAAAAAACTGATGCTGACTTTGTGTTTCAGTGTTTAAACTTTGCTGGGCTTTGTAAAGAAACTGGATMATTTTATTGGTTTTAATAATAGAAACAGAATCAGCACAGAAAATTAATTGTGGAATTCTCAGTTGCACAATCAGTAAACATTTACTTCATCTGGTTGAACGTGTTCAACAAGTTTTCTTATGTCATAGGATTAACTGGTGTTTCATTCACTTTTACTTTTATTTTTACTTTCACTTTATAAAGACAATCTGTTCAAACACTCATCACCCAACAAAGCCTTTACACTTAAAAGTTTAGTAGCTTAAATAAGCATTAATTTAGCCTTTTAAGATGTTATTTTTGGTGCTTTGCAATGAATTTGTTGTTTTCTCCTATTTATAACTTCAGTTTGTAAGTTTTATTGTGAAAGACATAAAGCAGATAAACAAATGCTTACATATTGAAATTAAATTACACCAAAAACAAAACATGGAATTGCCTATCAATACGTAGTTTGTACAACAATTCCACAAAACACACAAAYAAAATAATCAACAATGTTGGAGCATCAAATARGCCATTTCCTCAAAAACAAATTTAGGATCAGATCACCTTTTTGATTTTTTTWCAGTAAAACWTTGAAATTATRGATAAATGTTTTAACAACCATCTAAAGSAGAATAAAATGTTAGTGAAATTATGTATTATATACTATGTGACTCAATAGTTTTATAATGTTACACAGATAATTTAATGTTGATTCTCTTACCTGCGACATGGTACTTCTGTGTCGACTCTGTTTTCTTCACTCAGACTGGCAAACTCGATATTTGTTACAAAATCTTATCAGATGAAACTGGAAAACAGTAGATAAACAGGTTTACTTTTACATGTCTCTGCACACATCACATATACTGTTACRGTTGAGCTTGGTTGGTTTGAACCCCAGGATGCAAGACTGAGTGAGGGTGGCAAAAAAGGTTTATTAAAGCAACAAAAACAAAAGTGCCGACGTGGCAGCAAASAAGATTCTTGGCTTGGCATGAGACAACAGWGAACAAAGAACAAGGATCTGACAAAGACCGAGGACCAAGGACAGAATAYAAAGGMARAMCTAATGAGGTAAATMAAGAAACACCTGGGGAAGAAACATGAGGATCAGGTGTGAGTGGGCGGGGCTAGAACAAAGGCAGACAGGAGGAAGAAAACAGGAGGAAAAGACAGAAAACTTAGAATAAATCATAAGCACAGACACAAATCATGACATATACTCACATAGATGTAGGGTGGGGCCGGAGAARTAACAATTATCCTATTGTGTTGTAGGGAAATATGCGTTGATCTAAATGGTATGTCCGAATAAACAGGAATCCAACTGGACTTCTTGTTAAAACTTTATTTTCAGTCTTCTGACTCCAATCAGGTGCATTCATCGCTCAGCAGCACAGGCCTCAGTCAGACTTGGGGCTGAATCAAAACAAACACGGGAGCTCTGCTCTGAGCAGACACTCAGCATAACACTGACAAATTCTTACTACTATAATAATGAATTGAGCTTA